TCATACTTTTTCTCAAACCCCTGCCAGTTCCAAATATTCCTAAATGGATTCAATTTACTACAGTAATAAAGGCAGCTACGGAATTTTCAGCACATGATACAGTGTAAAGAGTACTGGATTTAGAGACAGAAGACCTTGGTACGAATCCCAACATTCGGTATGTGTAGAGGCAAGCCAATTAACCTCTGCAACTCTCAAACATGTGACAAATGGAGATATCTGCCATACTTAGCGTACTAATATTATTTCTATTGATTATCTTTGTCTTCAGCTTCCAATGTCGAGATGCTTTGTTATGGTCTCATGTTTTTTTCAAGCCTTTCCGAGTTTTCCTTTTTCTATGAAGCACAGACTTCACAAAATTAAATTAAAATGTGCACTACCACATATGACCAACTTCCTTCTTCTAATGGCAGTTATTATTAACAATAAGAAAGCTCAATCTCATTTAAACAAACCTATAGTCATTATTTCTTCTAAATGAATCCTACAATCATTTTCACAAATGGATGTTTTCTGATGCAATGCTTCGAACACTTAACAACACTACATCAATGATCAGATTTCAAGTGTAACATGACACATGACACGGGTATGAGAGGGAACTCCACTTCCCACCTCACTTAATGTAAATACAGAATGAGACAGCCAATTCACCTGAGAGAGGAGGCAGCTGCAAGCAGCATGACTCTTTGAACCAGAGAAGAGTGCTGGCTACAGACTCAAGAAAGCGGACCCAACTAAAGAAACCCAATTAAGTGAGTTTGCCCCTCTACACACAGGGAGATGCATGAAGAACTCTATAAAGAGAGAAAAAATTTCAGGCTCTCCCTGAATTATCAGAAGTTGTGAGTTAACCTTGTCCACAAATCTATACTCCATGTGTGCCTCACTACCATAATACGTAAGTCTGAGCCCACTCTCCCCATGGTTTTATATGAACCCTTCTTACTATATCATCTTAGTAAATGCCTTTGCTAAAAGCTAATTAAGTCTACTGATTGATTGTTAATGGGAAGCCACCCATTAACAATGGGGGCTCACGAGATAAAGTGGTAGAAGTAGCTAGCCACAGGGGAACTCAATCCTCAGAGGACCCATGTCTCAAATTTCAATGCAAACTGAAGGATTAGCTCCAGAGGGGAGGTTACACACGTATATTGTACAGAATCAGATTAGGGAAGAACGTGTTAGATGACCTGGAACAATTTAAACTAAAACAAGAATCCCTTCAACAACCTATTGGAGAAGTGGCTGTATTATCCAGTATTTGTTTAATGACCTCCGGGTAGGGGAAGCTCACATAAATTTATAGTGAACCCAATCAGAATTGTCCCATGATTTTCTCCACCTCTGTTTAGCAGTGAACGCTGGGAATGATTTAAGGATGAGGCTTGGCAGGGAATAACTGGCAAAAGGACAAGGGGGAAAAGGACTCAAGAGGACAGTGTAGTGTTGAATTGGTTCACCAAGGCATCAAGATGGAGAAAAGAGGAGAACGACTAGTGCAAGAGAGATGGTGTGTGAGGGGTTAAAGGTCTGGTAGTCAGGCTACGGACAAAGAGCAGGGTTTTGTAAGGGAAGGCAGAGGGAGAGGTGAAAAGCCAACAGGTTATGGTCAGTTAAAGGGATTTCAGAATTCCTGAACGTGGATGTGGTAGACTTGTGGGTGATGAGGAGATCAAAGGTATCGCCATTTTAGTGTGTGGCAGAATTGTAGCTCATGGGAGGTGAGTAGGTTAGGAATGGTTCAAGTCCCTCTGTGTAAGGGCAGAAGCTAGGGGGTAGAGAAAAATTATAAGCTAAGTATCAAACTCAAGAAAGGAGAGTGACCTGGAGATCTGCAGAAAACAGCTACTAGGATTCTGATTCGGTGAGAAGATGAACAGCCATGAACCTCAAAGGAGAGGTTACTGAGTGACGGAAGTCGGTAGAGAACCTGAAAGTGGGAACAGGGAGCAAGGAGAATTGCCTCACCAGAAGGAAGCCATGTTTCTGTAACAGCTAAAAGACAGGAGGAGTGGGAGAGGAAAAGATTTAGGATGAAGGGAAGTTTGTTGCCTACAGGGCAGAGTGGAAAGGATGGGCGGTGTTCAGTTGGAATTTGGGGATTTTGAGGTGGGAGGGTTTGGGGGATGGGAATAAGGAACTGGGTGAAAGAAGACGGAGAACGACATTCGGCTGATGACCTACAAAGGTTTTAAGTCACGGGGATGCATGTGTAGGGTATGACTAAGACTGTTCATCATCGACCTCTTCCTTATACTCTCCTTTAGGATCACAGATAGAGGTAGAAGGATCCAAGATGCCACTGAGTCTGACCCTCTCATTTTACACATAAGGAGAGCGAGGCAGAGATGTTAAATTACTCGTCCAGGGTCATACAGCTATCTGAGTGTCTGAGGCAAGATCTGAACTTGTTTTTTCCTGATCCAGGTCCAGCGCTCACTGTATTCCCTACAAGACTTCAACTTCTCTCCAGTATACTCTAACCACAAACTCCTACAAAGACTATTTTTTGTCTTTGCTCCAACTTTCCCAAACATTCTACCAATCCCTGTCTATCATCCCTGGTCTGGTGTCACTTTCCTCCTTTTCACAGTCTTGACCTGTGAATTAAGGAGGTCACTTTTACATTCTCCTCTACACTCAAATCAATTCAAAAGGCAATTATTAAACATAGAAACCAGAGACAGAATGTTCTGCAAGGAGCTGCACCAAGCTACTTTGGCTGCAATACAGAGTGCATGAATGGGGCTAAGATGTAATCAGTCTAGGGAGATAAGGTGTAGCCAGATTTTAAAGGTATTTAAATTTTCAAAAGAGAAGTTTGTATTTTATCTTACAGGAAATGGAGGTCAATTAAGCCAGGGAACTGATTCAATATGAATTCGTATGAGGAAATGAGAAAGAGAAATCAAGTATTATGAAGTTTCAAATCTCAGAGACTAGAAGGATGGCAGTACTTCCCCAAGTCTTCTCTTCTCCAGGTTAATATTTTCCCCCCTTCAACTAGCATGTTTTAATATCCTTTACCATTTTGGGTGCTATATAGTTTTATCAACATTCTTTCTAAAATGTGATGCCTTGAACTAAACGTATTTACCCAGAAATAATCTGACCAAAAGAGGACTATCATTTCCCTAGTCTTGGATACTACGGCTCTCTGTATGTACTCTTAAGGTGCTATTAGTTTTTCTAAAGGCTCCTTACTAGAAAAAGTTATAAATCTTGTAAATATGGCCCCAGTTTCTCCCTTCCTTTGGTTTCTGATGATAAAGTTTTTCTTCTCTTTGACAGTACCAATCCTTCTATATGTGCCCTTGACCCTATGTGCTCCCATCTTCTCCGGCAGATGTTCCTCTGTTATCTTATTCTCCCCTCCTTTCTCAACCTCTCTATCTAGTCTTTAATTTCTCCCCATCTGCTAGTTTGGGCATGCTCAAGTATCCTCCATCCTTGAGAAACCTTCACTGTACCCTACCACCCCTTTCAAGGTGTCCTCCTGCCTTTCGCAGACAAACTCTTAGAGCTGTCTATACTTAGAGCCTCTGCTTCCTTTCCTGTGACCTCCTCCTCAATCCTTTGCAATCTAGCTCCAGATCTCATCATTCAAATGAAAGTGTTCTCTTTCAAGTCACCAATAATTTAATTGCCAAGTCTGATAGTGATAACCTTTTCTCAGTCCTCATCCTTCTTGTTCTCTCTTCTCTATTAGAAACCTCTTCTGTTTTTTCATGATACTCCTCTTCCCTAATTCTCCTGCAGCCTGTGTGACCACCTCTTCTTCTTCTCTCTGGCCAGTTCGTTAACTATATCCTACCTCCTAACAGTAGACTGTCCCAAAGGCCCTGTCCTGAGGGCTCTTCTCTCTACATTCTCTTGGTGATCTCATTGGCTCCCATGGGGTATAGTTATCATCCCCACCCAAATGACTCACACATCTAAGTACCCTGACTCCGCCTCTCTCCCGAGTGTCAGTTCCACAATGCCAATTGCCTGTTGGACATTTAAGATTGCATGTCCCAGAGACATTTCAAGCTCAACACGTACAAAACAGAATCCATTATTTCCCTCTCCCCTTCCCAAACTTTTCTATTTCTCTCAAAAATAGAACCATTTCCCCAGTGTCCTTGGTTTATATCCTTGACTCCTCACTTCCCCTGACCCACATATCCAAACAGTGGCAAAATCTTGTCATTTCTACTTTCACAAAATCTCTCCACCCCACCCTTTCTTTCCACTCATATAGATCAAACCCGCACCTTGACCACTTTACAATGTCTTTCTTGTTGGTCTCCCTGCCCCACATCTCCGCACTACGATCCATCTTCCAATAAAGCTGCTGAAATAATTTTCCTTGCATACAATCTAACCATGTCACTCCCCTAATTCAGTGGACTACATTGACTCCCCATTGCCTCTGAGTTAAAACAAATTCCTATGGTTAGCTTTTAAAGCCCTATGAAATTTGGTCCAAGCCTATCTTCCCAGTCTCACTGTAAACTGCTCCCATACTCTGTAGTTGGGTCCACAGTGGCTTTTGTACTGGTTGTCTCCCATGCCAACACTGTCCTTTCTCCTCACTTTTGCCTTATAAAACCTCTCATTTCCTTAAGACACAACTCAAACACTACTTTTTATACAAAGCCTTCCTTGACCCAGCTTCCCTTATCACCAACCAGCCCCCTTCCAGTGCCTGGTACCCTCTCTCCCTCCTTAACTATCTTTTCTTTTACCGTCTCATTTTGGATTTGTTCTGTGTGTACTCATACATGTAGGTGCTGTCTTCCACAACAGAATATAGGTTCCCAGAGTAAGAACTGTTTAATTCTGTCTTTCCATCTTCGGTGCCTTGCAGAATGCCCAGGCACTTTACAAATGCTTAATGACTGATCATGAGAATATTGTTCTTTCAAACAGTTGCAATTCCGTAAAAATAGGAACAAATCTAAAAGGTGAGTATAATTTCAACGGATGCTTTCCAAAATAATACTTACAGGTGTGGAGACACTCTGTCACGGTAGTTGGCTTGATAAGGTACCCTTTACAGATGTAACAGGTAATATGAGGATTGAAGTCTTTAACCAAGTGCTTCCTTTGAGTAGCCATTCGAAGAGCAGCTGATACTGTTGAGTAGTTTGCACAAGAAATAGCCTACGTAAATCAAAGTCGAATCACAGGAGCTGCTGTGTTTCTCTGTATAGGTGGGCTTTCTGAGACATCTGAATGAATCAATCCTCTCATAAGGATGCTGTTCATAACTCCGTTTGGAGGTTTTGTTTTTTCATGCCTGTTAACAGTTATTTAAGAGGGAGAAGAAATATGAAATTCTGTCTACTACATGTCATAAAAATAATTTTCAAAATTTGCTGCTGCATAATGATAAATGTTCAGTTCTACATATAACTTCAATGACTGAATTTAACATGTCCTTGACATATCAGGATTTTAAAACTGTCTTAATTATACTCAGAAAAAGTAAAAGTATCACGTCAGCTATCAAAATTAAGGGCATATCTCTAAATTTTCTAAAGTCTTAATGAAAGAACTTTTCCTACTGAACTTCATTCTAGCTACTGAAATAACCACTTTTAAGGCTCCTAAAATGCAAATAGTATTTAAGAACATTTCCTTCACCTATCTGCTGTAAAGATCTCTTGAATATATATAATAATATATTTAAGAATTAATTTTACATTTTATGAACACTCAATAACTCACTGTTGGGTTGTGCATCTTTAGGCAGTCTAGTATAATGTAAAGAACCTAGGAGAGGGGTGGGGAATCTGCAGCCTTAAGGTCATGTGTAGCTTTCTAGGTCCTCAAGTGTGGCCCTTTGACTGAATCCAAACTTCACAGAACAAATCCTCTTAATAAAAGGGATCTGTTCTGCAAAACTTGGACTCAGTCAAAAGGAGCTAGAAGGCCTCCAGGCTGAAGGTTCCTCACCCCTGACCTAGGACATGCCCATGGAAAATAATAGGATCATAATTAGGTATGGAAGGGAACTCTGAAGTTATCTAACCCAACCCACAAAAAACTGAAGCCCAAAAAGGTTAAGTGAGTTGTCCAATTAGAGTCACAAAAGTAGTTAAGTGCCAAAGCTGGGCTTCAAACTGAGATCTTCTGATCTTAAATCCACTTTACCACATTTATTTTCTCTTCCACTCATTCATTATAAGAGCATAGATTTTTAGGTGAAAAGGACCTTAGAGGTCAATGCGGCCAACCCTCTCATTTTAGAGATAAGGAAACTGAGGCAAAGAAATCAAGTGACTTGTAAAGCGTTATACAGCTAATATTCGCCTGAACTTTGAACTCAGGTCTTCCTGACTCTAAGTCCAATGGAACAATCAATTTCAATTTATTTAAAACAAATAAATGACACTTTAAGGTATGCAAATCACTTTACAAATATTATCTCATTTAATAGTCACAACAACCCAGGAGGCAGTTGCTATTATTACTGCCATTTTTACAGAAGAGGAAACTGAATCACAGAAGTCTTTAAGTTTATATATGGCCTTCTTACAAAACCAGTGTGAAGTAGGTACTGAAAATCATCCGCTTTTACCGACGCAGGGCAGGGAGTCACACAAGAACTCAGCAGAAGAGCCCAAGACCCAAAACTCATGCTTACTGACTCCAAAACCAGTCCTTAGCTCTCTAGGCCTTATTTTTCTTATCAATAAATGGAGGGTGGGGGTGGAGAGTTAAATCTTAAGATGACCAAAGGTCTTTTCAGCTCTAACAATCAAAGAAAATAAAATAATTAAAGAATGCAACTAGTTAGTTATTGACATGCTACAAATAAGTGGTTCACAAAAGTTCATTTCAACATTCAATTCAATTAACATTTCTTAAGCAACTACTGAAAACTTTGTAAGGTGCCTAGATTAGAGTCCTTGCCCTCAAGGAGCTTACAGTCACAACTCCATTAGTGGATTATGTACAGACAGACCTCTATGGTATAAAACGTAATGTGAGAACAGCACCAGGGAGGGACCCCAAAAGCTATAAGAAATCGAAAGAGGTAGACAGGCAATCAAAAAAATAAAAAGATCCAAAGCCTTCTTTAAAAGTTGGAATGCCTTTTCTTTCGGCCTCTGTGTCCGTGAGTAGGCACGGTCAGGTGTGGGTTTGGAGACCATTAAACGGGAAGACTGGGGCACCTAAATGTCGGCCCATTGCTCAGAAGGATGCGCAGGTCGCCTGGCTCCAACAGCTCAACACGTGGTGTTTTTGCTCCTTTCTCGACATTTACACGCGACTTACAAACTAACCCCTCCTCCTAGGAATGGGTGGAGGAGAGAATGGAGTCCCCCCCCCAATCCTCACCCCGCACTCCTCCCCGCTGTGCAGGGGGCTAGGTGGACTCTCGGGGACGGGTCTCCCCGCTTCGATCCGGGCCCGGCCGGCTCGGCTCGCCCTCTCCCCCGGGCCGCCTGCAGGTCTGGGCAGCTGCGGCAGGTGCCTCCAAGTAGCCGCTTCCCCGCAGGGTGCAAAGTTCCGGGGGCGGGGGCTCGAGCGCTCCCCTCCCGCCCCGGGTTCCCCTGCTTACCCCTCTGCGGCCGCCGCCGCCCCTTACCCGCCAGCCCCAGGCGCGGAGCTCGCCGCCCGCCAGCGTGCCAGCCCGAGAGAAGGAAAGTGAAAGAGAAAGACCGCCAGCCCAGCCCGCGGGCCCCGCGCCGCGCGGCCTGGGCCAGGCCCCCTCCCAGCCCGCCCCCGCAGGAAGGCGGGAGCGCGCCCCCGAAACCCACCCACCCAGACGCCCGCCCTGCGGGGCGCCCGGAGCCTCCGGGCGCAGGCCGGCCCGCACCCGCCCCGCGGGGCAACCCCACCCCCTTGCTCCCGGCCCGGCGGGCAGCGCGCCTCGAGCCCGCTCCCCACCCGGGCCGCGCCCCCTTTCCGCGGCCCGTCCGCGTTCCCACGCCCCGCTCACCCGGGGGAGTCTCCGTCCACACCAGTCCACTCGCCCTCGCCGCCTGGCTCCGGGCTTAAAGCGTGGCTGCGGCTAAATTTAGGGCGAGGTTTTGTTTTTCTCCATCACAAATGAGCAATTTTTTCTGCACCGGTGGCTTGAAAAGGCAACGGTCAAGGTTTCTGTTGGACCAAGTGAAACCCCTCTGCTCCGGGCAGCTGGGGCCAGCCGGACACAGCCACGGCCAGCTCTGCCGGGGGCTCGGTGAAATCGGGGGACACCTGGATCGGCAACTCGCGGAGAAGTCACTATCTTAACTGCCGGGAGAGCCGGGCGCTGCTGGCATTGGGAGCCGGGAGAAACTTTTTTCCTGAAAAGTAATTGAAATTTCTCAAAATTAATGGATGGGGCAAGACGAAGAATGAGTTTTCCAAGTTACCAAAACAAAAAGCACAACCCAACTGTGGGTCCCTCGAGCCGCACCTACACCGTGCCTTCCATCGTACACCTAACTCATTCAACAAGTACTTACTGACCCCCGGTAGCGGCCGTCTGCTAACCTCGCCGCTAGGCCCTACCTAGGAGGCGGCTCTCGGCAGCAATCACATGGTTCGCCCCTGTCCCGGACGAAACGCTCGTTAAATTCACTGTCAAGGACTGCCTAGGTGGGGGATGGAGAAGAAAACCTCGTAATGATAACCTGGCCCGAAGCAGACTGACCCAAAAATGGGCAGCCTGCCTGAGGTACAGGGCAAGGGCGACACTTCCGAGGCCCGGTAGGGCGGGGGTGGGTGTTAAAGGGCTATTTCTTTACTCTTTCAAGCTCCAGACCCCAGGCAACAGTAGTCTAGAGAAACTTGGGTACAAAAAGGACCTTCGATGGGACAAGCTATCTGACCATGGGGCAAGTCTTTGGAAGTTAGTTTCCTCTTCTGTAAAAGGGGAAGGACATCACCTACTTCGCAAGATTGTTTTATGTTTCAAATGAGAATGCATGTAGATAATGAAGTATATAACTTTTGTTTTGTCAACCTTAGTGATATTCCTAAAGAACAGGTCTAAGCATATGACTTCTCTGCTCAATAAATTCAAATGGCTCTCAATTAACCTCTAGGATAAAATTCAAATAAATCCATTTGGCATTTGGAACCCTTCACTAGCCTATCTTTCCAATACTACTATACATTAATTCCTCTTTCAGGCTCTACAGTATCACAAACCACAGCATAGTGTGAGATTCCTCACACACAGGACATTCCACATTTCTCATTTCATTGCCTTTGCAATGAGTGACTCCGGTACCTAGCATGTGTTCCTTCTTCCTAAGCTCTGCCTCTTAGAATTTCTAGTTTCCTTCAAAGCTCAGCTGAAGGGACACCTTCTATTTCTGTGGTATTTTGTTTCCCCTTAGTTGCTAGTACACCCTAAATGGATTTTGTAATGAGATATATATATATATCTACACACACATATGTGTGTAGAGAGATGATCTATAGATTCATATAATTATATATGTATATACAGATGATCTATAGATGTGTGTAATATATAGATGATAGATATCTATATAGATTATATAACTATAGATGTGTACACATATCTACACATCATCTATACTTTGAGGGCAGGGAGTTTGATGGCACAATAGATAACAGAACTGGGCCAGGTGTCATGAAGACCCAGTTTAAATTTGGCCTTAGACATTTACTAGCAGTGTAACCCTGAGCAAGTCACTTTACTTTTCCTCTTTCCTCATCTGTAAAATGGAGAAAGTAACTGCATCAGCCTCCTACAGCACTGTTGTGAGGACCAAATGAGGCAAAAATTATAAAGCATTTAGCACAGTGCCTGACATATATCTATGTAGTTGCTCAATAAAATGCTCACTGATTGATATATGAATGTCAGTTATTATCATTCTTCCCTGAATTACTAAGTGTGGATGTATACATTTGGGGGAGGGAGACAAAAAAAATGTTACTAGGAATATTTGTATATGTCTTTAAAGCTTAATTTGTCTTAAATCTGACCTATATCTCTAAAAGGAATGATGAAAGTTCAAATTATTCTTTCTATAATTACATTTATGGTGGAGGGGACAAGGGGAGAAAGAAGAGGGAAAGGGAAAAAATAGAAAATGCGATCTGTTCTACCACCAAAAGAGTATTCCACATCAAAAACAACTTTCACCAATCATACTTTACTAATCCTAATGGGAAACCCCTCATAAATCTCTATCTGCCAGTTTGCTAAACTGTGATCAGCTTCAATAAGTTACACCAATCATGACGAGCTGGGAAAACAGGCTAGGTAAATGACTTTATGCTTGAAGGACTTCACTGCAGGTTTCTTTAATCTCTGAGAATAAACAAACCAATATAAGAAGAGTCATCTTATTTCCAGTGCACTTAAAATATGTAATGGAAGCTATTCCCATTACAATAAGTCATAACACACATGGCAACATGCCAATTTTAAGAAATTACCATTCACAGCACAACTACATTATTGAAAAGTACACAAAATATATGGATGCTTTCCCACTTTCTTGATAAATTTTACAAGTGCAGTTCATATTTATATATTGTCCAAAAAGGCTGAATGACTTTGGATCAACATAGACAAATTGCTTTCATGAGAAAACAGTACAGTGGGAAAAGGTCAGAAGAAATTAACTTTTGGGGGATGGGGTACATATGCCATTACCTTCCAAAAATATTAACCAAGGATTCCTTTTGCCAAAGGTATATTTCTAAGAAAAAAGTGGTTAACAAAGCAAGAAGAGGAAGTTTCTTGGACCCAAGAAAAAATAAAAAATAAAGGACCTATTATAGCACCTTTCTTCTTCATGTCCCTGCCCTGCTCCATTCAGTATCACTTTGGGCTCATATGCAACCCTTCACTCTTTACTGGCTCAGCTCTTCCACAGCCTATAAATATGCAAAATGTGCCCCTCCCCCAACACACACCCTAACACCAATAACTTCTTGGTACCTGCTTCCCTCAAGCTATTACTTGCTCCCTCCTCCCCTTCATGGCCAAACTTCTAGAAAAGAGTAGCCTACACTCACTGCCTCCCCTTAGCCTACCAACATGCATGGATCTCTGTCATCTCCCCCTTCACCCAAACCCTCAAAACCCTTCCCCCTTCACTCCCTTACTTCTAAAAGTTATCATTCTCTTTCCTCCTTTTCACTGCCATAAATCTAGAAAGACTGGTCTATACATAAAGCTTCCACTTCTTTGCCACCTACTCATTGCTCAAAACCTTAAAATCTGGTTTCTCTCCACCACTCAGTTCTCCTTCTCCCCCTCCACTCCCCCCCAGCAAGTTATGAATGACCATTGTCACTAAATCTAACAGCCATTTTTCCTGCAATCATTCTCCTTAATTTCTCTCTGAGTACCTACTGCCTTATTTTCAATGATACAACAAACATTCTTAGATAGTTCAAAGAATCAGGAGACCTGAAACTGTGGCCCAGAGAAATCAGAAGCACTGCTCAAGGTCATACAAGCAGTAAGTAGCAAATCTGGGATTTGAAGTCCAAATCCAGCACACATTCCATTGTATCAGGTACAAGGACTGTTACTGTTAGAATTGTAGGGGCAGCTAGGTGGCGAAGTGGATAGAGCACCGGCCCTGAGTTCAAATCCGGTTTCAGACACATAACACTTACTAGCTGTGTGGCCCTGGGCAAGTCACTTAACCCCACTGCTTAACCCAAAAAAAAAAAAAAGAATTGTGTCAGTGGTACTAAAACTTCCAGTGAGCTGAGGTGGGCAAGGAAAACTGAGGGAGATAGGGGTGGGAAGGATTGTTAATTTGAAACTATACTGTGGGAAAGAGAAGATTAAAAAAAGAGACAGAGGGGCAGCTAGGTGGCACAGTGGATAAAGCACCAGCCCTGAAGTCAGGAGGACCTGAGTTCAAATCCAACCTCAGACCAAACACTTGACACTTACTAGCTGTGTGACCCTGGGCAAGTCACTTAACCCCAATTGCCTTTAAAAAAATAAAAGGGATAGAAACTGTGCTTGAGATAAATGGAATGAAAATAGCTAACAAAAAAGCCAATGAGGAGTTATGCAATTTTTTTTTCTTTTCCTGCTGTCCTCTTTGGACAGGAAATGACAGAATGTAAGTGGCTAACAAAGTTGATAGCCAAGTTAAGTAAGGAGATAAGTAAAAGCACCCAGCTGCTATTTTAATGATGAATTCAAGTCATCTGGCCCTGATAAAGGACATTCGTCTCCTAACTTTCAATACCTCCTTCCAGTCTCCTTTGCAGGCTCTTCATCTTATTTCTACCCCTTCAACATGAAGTCTTTAAAAGTTCTGTACAAGTCTCCTCTCTGGCTACACTTTCTTTTGGTGATCTCATCCATGGTATCACCTTTTACTTCTACGCAAACGTCTTGCAGATTTTATTTCCATCCCCCCATTCCACCAGTTCCACATCTCTGATAGCTGTGTGGACATCTGCACTTCATGGTCCAATAGCATTTCAAACAACTTTTTATCTTGCCCCTAAAACCTGCTCCTCCCATTTCTCTACTTCTGCTGATGACACCCACCAGCTTCATGGTCACCCAGGCTTATAACCCTGGGGTCCTCTTAATTTCTCCCTCTCCAATCACTCACCAAACCTGTCCATTCCACTTCTCTCATATCTCCTTCTTCCTCTCGACTTCAATTCCCCCTCAACTGTAACTATCTTTGTTCAGGTCCCCTTCTTTCTCATCTAAACTATTACAATTGGCTCCTAACCACCAGTCTTCCTGCCTCCGGTCTATTGCCTAAGTAATCTTCCTATTTCACTCTCCTACTCAAAAATCTTCACTGGCTACTGAACAAAGAATAAACCTTGGCCTTTCAGCCCCTTCATATTCTTTTTCCAGCCTATCTTCCGATCTTATTTATCACTGCTTCCCATCACATACTCTTGAGATGTCACAGCTAACCTGGGCTAACCTCTCTGTTCCCAGTCCTCATTCTGCCCTCTGTTATCTCCATGCTTAGCTTGCTAGAGTCTGAAATGGCCTCACCAGCCTCTTCTTTCTCCCCATGCCTTCAGCAGTATCTATGGAAGACCTTCCCCCGTTCATTCTTTCAAACACTATTTCCTCTACCACCTCCTCTATGAAACCTTCCCAGTCCATTTCCCTTTCTTTGGGGAAGGGAATCTTTCTACAATTATATCGTAGAACTTCAGCAGTTCAATGCTTGGTGCTTGCTAGACTCAGTTACTGTTTGCAAGTCTTCCTCTACATAGAACTGCAAATGCCTTGAGAGCAAAGTCTTTGGCACTTGTATCTTTCTCTTCCTTCAGTCTAACACTGCCTTGGCATATAGTAAATGCTGATTAA